CCATCGCTCGGGGCACCTTTTTTGATACTCCACTGGAATGATTCCATCATCCACCTGCTACTCTTCTCGGTTGGAGATTTCTCAGCGTTTATGCGCCCTGGTCCTGCCACATTTTCGACTCCCATCTTTGAAATACCATCGAAACGCCTTTCATTAACAATAATCTCATTAGCTATGCGAGAAAATCAGATTTTTTTTGCAGCAGCGCAAACCACCGCGACTTAAGCGGCAGACAGCTAGGGCTTGTAGCTAAGAGTTGGCTTAAACGATTGTTTCATGTGAACTCTGTTGTAGTAATTTTCCTAAATATTGTAGTATACTTTTAGTGTTGCCGTTACGAAATCTCCTGTCAGCTTTGTCGGTACGGGTGAGCACATCGACGATTTTGAGTTATTCAAACCGAAGGCATTTGTGCAAAAGCTGCTGGGAATGGGTGACATCGCCGGTTTGGTCGACATGGTCAATGATATTGGAATAAAAGATAACGAGGAACTTGTTAGCCGTTTAAAACATGGTAATTCTTAGATTCTCATTAAACTGTGTGAGTTTTGGTTCTAGCTGATTGTCGCTTCTAGGTCTGTTCACTCTTCGTGATATGTACGAACAGTTCCAGAATATCATGAAAATGGGTCCTTTCAGTCAGATAATGGTATGTTTCTGGAAGACGTCAAAGATTATGTTAGCCGATGTCTCCATTCATTAATAGTTAGGCTGCGTTCACACTTTGCGTCAGCGTACGGCAACATTTCGGGCGTACGCTGTCGCAAATGCAGCGCATGCCAACGTGCAGCAGCGGTTTCTCGGATTGTTTTGCTCAAGCTCAAGTTGCCCGCAAAAACCCTGGCATAGGTTGGCGTTCGTCAGAGCTATATCGATACTTTCCTTCTCGCTGGCACCCGCTGGCGTTCGCTAGATCGAACTTTCCTTGTCGGAGCTGGCGTACGCTCGCAACACTGCCTGCTCTGACGCAAAGTATGTACGCTGCCTTATTGTTCAGAGAGCTTTTTTAAGAGTATGATCCCTGGATTTGGTCCTGAGTTCATGACGAAAGGTAATGAGAAGGAATCAGTGGGTCGCCTAAAGAGACTCATGACTATCATGGATTCTATGAGTGATACAGGTGCGTACCGTTGCTCATAATTTTAATAGTCCTTACTGCAAATATTTTTACAGAACTGGACCACCCGAAAGCATCTGAACTTTTCACGAAAGAACCTGGTCGTGTTGTTCGTGTAGCGAGAGGTTCTGGTACTACGCAGGCTGATGTGAGTATCTCTTATGATAGCGGCACTTTTAACAACTGTAAAAACCATCTTAAGGTACGGGATTTGCTCAGTCAGTACAAAAAGTTCGCCGATATGGTCAAGAAGATGGGATCAATCAAAGGGCTATTCTCCGTATGTTTTGTTTATTATACGTAATATTTGAGGTTTAATAGTGCAGAAGTTCGAGTTCGGTACACAATTACTTCATACCTTTATGATTCGTTGCGGATGCTAGGGCGCGTCGGGGAAGGGGGGCTTGGCGTGCAGCAGTCGGTTTTCCTCCACCGGTTGCTGTCGCTTGTCGCGTCAGTAATTGGAGGATGAGATGGCGTGCGCTAAACGGACTCAGGATATCTGTCAAGCGCGAAACCTCTTTCTCCTTCCTTTTTCCTTGCCCCTTCCTTCTTCCTTCCTTCTGTTATCCCTTTTCCTTATTTTCCTTCCTCTAAATGCTGGAACGGAGTATGCGACGAGAAATACCTCTGGACCCTCGAAGCGAGAGAGCATCCGGTTGACAGATGTCTTGTAACAGCCAAACTCAGCCCCCTGACACGCTCTAGCGCTCGCAGCGAACATACTATTCTTATTTCGCTTTAGGGTAAGAATGGCGACATCAATCCCAAGAACGTCAATCCTGCGCAAATGATGAAGCTGAACCAACAGATGGCAAAGATGATGGACCCTCGTGTATTACAACAAATGGGCGGTATGGGTGGTTTGCAGAATATGATGGCTCAATTGCAAAAAGCTGGTGGAGGTAAAGGAGTGGGATTGTTTTAGGGTTGAAGACCAGTTAGGTTCCTGTATTGATACATTTACTGGATTTACTTTCGACACTTAGATATATTATTTGCATGCATAGTTTGGAGTGTTTTGAAAAAAAATTCTTGTATTTGTCTGGGTTTCGATGATGGTAAAACAACAGTGTGCTTCCTATCCCATATGGGATCATTCCAAGAATGGCTTTCATATGAAGGTGACTTTATAGATGACAGTTTTCTCCGAACGTTTTTGTACCTTCCTTTTCACGCCTAGTCATTCTGTTACTAGAATGCTCGAATGGTAAAATTGAATTTGCTGCTGTGATTGTTCTTTTTCATTTGAACTCATCGTTTCAATTCTTGATGTACATATGAGAGAGAGCCGTATATTTCTTGTTTTCTGAACTTGGGTTTCTTCGAAGAAGTAATAAAAATGAGTTCATCTACCATCTTATTGATTTATTTGTCAGCTGATACAGAGCAGTTTTTATGCTTCGTTCACGCGGACCTGCCGTGGTTTTGATGGATGTCTTTTCTAAAGTGACATAGGAAATCCCTGCTTTCCCCCAGATGGTGCGACAGACTAGAGCGGCAGCGAAAAGCGATCCTGATCCAGCTAGCGATGTAGTAGTAGCTGATGTTCCTTGCAAAGGACCGCCGCCGTCTGACGCAACCTACCAGAGGAAATTTGTCATTGCCAGAGGTCTGTGTAATATCAGAGCTGTTGTAGGATTTTTATTTATGTTATAAATTACAGAGGGTTCACTTCCGAACAGTCGTCTCTATCATGTGCGTCATCCAAAAAACGGGACTCCTTGCCTGTATCGGATAAATGAGAAACACTGCGATGAGGTACGAATTTTTTGGTATTGTCAACAGGCAGTTCTTACGATTGAATATTATGGATAGTGGCTCTTCAGTTGTGAACCAGTAGAAGTTAAGACAGCCCTCGCGCTCAAGTAGTACATGGTCGTCCTTCCTTGTGCAAGTAGTACAGCCCCCAAGCTAGAGACTGTCCCACTCTCGCGACTCCACAGCGAGCGAGGAGCGAGCTACAGCCGCTGAAAGTTCTAGTTCTAACGCCCGCCACTTGCTAGATGCCCTCTGACGGAGGGCCGCTCAGTTGTTCTTTGTTGGGGCGGCGGGCATTAATCGGAAGTGCATGTCCTTTTTGCTGACCGCGCTCGTGCCATGAATGTCTCCTTTATTACATTTTATTTACAAGAGCACATACAGTCAACTCCAACCCATCTCGCAAGGTAAAACGCGTAAAAATCACGAGCGACCCAATTTTCGTGGTGCAAAAGCTCGACGCACACACTACACTAAAAGATGCACGCTACCGTAACCCTAAATTCGGACGCCGAGTTTTTGAAAGTTTCTTTTCCTTTTCAAGAGTTTTTCTTCCGTGTTTTTGTTGTTTTTCGTATTCTTTTCTTTGCATTGGATGATACCCACTACTGGGAGATGTGATAAAGGGATTTGTGAGCCAGGGGTTGCACAGAGACCGCAGGGAGGTGTGACTGTCAGGGAGCGATTTTGTTTATGGTGTTCTTGAGGACTCTTCTTGCTTTTTTTCTTCCTTGATTACTTATCAGCTGCTGTTTCATAATTGAGAAGTCGCTGTGCAGGACACTTTTATCGCGGGAGCTGTCTTCAAGTGACTTCCGAGTGAAGACAAAAAGGAATGGAACCATCGAGAACACCTATACAATCCCATCCCTGACAGTCAACATGTCCGCAGTGTGGCGGTCCAGTACATGGAGAAAAACGAAAAACAAAAACACAGGAACGGAACTAGCAGTAAAATGCGAAAATGAAAATTATAACTTAATGTTCTAGATTATGATTGGTAAGCAATGCACAACGAACTTTTGCTCCACCGTAATTGCTTGTGAAGTCGCTGCTGAACTGAAGTGGTGCTATAAAGTATCTTGTCTTGAAAAATGGACTGCTACTGCTTCTGTTCCCAGAAGTATCCAAGTGAAGGGACAGACTCGTGAACTTGTAAAAATCGACATGCTATCGTTTTTTTTTGATGGGCACAAGTCTTCCCATGGCGCTGCAAGCAACATGCGCGTTGGTTAGCGGTCTTAATCGTTGTCTTGTAACCTGAAAACGTAAAAAGGTAAACTATCTTACGTCTCTGCTGCTTTATCTCGGACGTTCGTGTGTTGAATATAGTAAACTCTCTGCGAATGGGTTCTGGCTACGAAATTCACGGAGGCATTTCGATCACTTCATGGCTGGAAATGTTTTCAAAACACCACTTTAGGAGTGGGGGTAGAATACAGAAGTTTTTGGTGTAACCACATTCTCTGGGCGTTACACTTTCCTAAAATAAGCACCGACTTTTTCGCCTATTAAAAACAAAATCATAACTAACTTCCAGAACCACCATTAACCTAGGTTGTCGCTGTTGGCGACTCGTTTCGGTCATGGTTCTACGGTGAAAGTGTTGTGTCAGACGGGTCGATACGCTTGTTTTCTCCCGTTCATCCACTGTTTCTTGCATTACCTTACTTTATGAAATCAAAGGTACGTCCCTTCACTTATTGAGTGAAGCCCTTTTGTTACTAGAACAAACTCATTAAATCAATTTCAGACGGTATTCAAAGAGCTAGACGAAATTGTTTCCGATCCAGAATGCCCCTCCATAGCTGTTCTTCTGAAAAATGAAGCAGTTTGTGAATAATATTGATAAGATTTGCGAAGTGAAAGGTCAGAATTAAAAGCACAAGGTTCTTTTAATCACTTCAATATCTCGGTGTCAACAGTCTATTTAAGAAGTTTGTGACGCTAAGGTATATCGCATTGATGAGGGCAAAGCTCTTGAATGGATTGCTGGTCGATTTCGGCGGCTTCGAGACGCACTCGTAGGAGAGGGCAGTCTACACAAGTCAATCACTTCGAACAGTGAGTTTTACCATTATTCTTCGTTGTTATTTTCTTTGGTATGCAAACCACCCTTTTGTCATCAGCGCTGCAACTATTTCACAAGAACATATTTTCGTTTTTTCTCTCCATCACTTTTTGATAGGTTTATGTTTTTTTACTGGTTTAGTTCGCTTGTTGCGCCAGGCATCAGTTAAGATAAATTAGTTTAAACCCCAGAAAGCAAAGGTGCAGATTTTATGGCGCTGGTCGCTTTGAGGCAGGGGGAAGGAAAGAACGTTGCTTCTTCGCTAGTCTGTTGTTGGTTTTGTTGAATTATCCGTTTCACCTTGGCAAGGGCTGTGAACTCTTTTCAGTTGTGAGCGGCTCATGCTATTGCAGTGCTACACAGAAATTCACAGTTCCCCGTAGGAGGCATCAGTGATCGATGTGAACCAGGTTAAATGCCCACACCAAGCCGAATAGCACCTGTTTTCTG